TTTTTTTTTTTTTTTTTTTTTGAATGCCAACAATAGTTTATTTATTACATTTTACTCGGCATATAACTAATTAACTTTTTATTCATCTTTTTTTTTATTATTAAGACTCGTAGCAATTTCTTTAAAATTATTATCTGCCTGGAAGTAACTGAAAATTTAGTTCTCTTCTGTTTACTTTAAAACTAGAACTATAGTGAGTCCTCAGAAATGTTGGTTTGAGTAATGACGTGAATTGAGGCTGTAAAGCTGAGCTAACCGTAGTTTTTGACTGGAATTAAAACAGCTACTGCACATTATAATTTAGAAATTTGACGTTTTTAAGCTCATATACAGCAAAAAATTATTATTTTTTTAATAAATTTTGTACTCTTTTAAGCTGCTTAATAGCTAAAGCTTTTCTTTTCTCAAAATTTTCAGTCTTACAAAATCTCGCTTTAAAGAGATTTACCTCGTTGTTTAGGGATCAGCCTGCTTGTAATTTCAGTTTTAAAGTAGCTTTTCTTTGTAAAGAGAAGAATAGACGAAATTTCATCTTGTTTTTTTTCATGCTTGTCAAAAACAGTAAATACTATCTAAGTAGATTAGTAGTTATATTGCGAGTGGTTTTTACCACCTAACACGCTGGTATTGAACATAGTGATCTGCTGAACTTAATGCTGAATAAGGACAGCCTAGAGGTGAAAGTTATCTAATAATAACAGTTTACAAAAATGCATAAAAAATGCACTAAATCATTTGAAAGACATAAAAGTTTGAAAAAGGGCAAAAAAATTTTACTTGATTTAACCCAGTCATGTAAAAGATTATCATTTAAAAAGACTACAACAACAGCCGTTTAAGTACTTCATTTTTTCGTCTGGCTTCAAGCTGTCGATAGAAGCCATTTTTAAAGAAAAGCAGGTTATGGAGATAATAATAAAAAATTTAAGATCACGAATTTGAATAATGTAATCAAACATATATAGCCCTAAATCGAGAACTACCTGTGTCAAGATTTATTAGCTTTGTCACGCATAATAGCTTCAATAACTTTCCACTTAAAAAATAAATTTACTCCAAAAACTTAGACAGAAAGAACAAATGGTAAATTGAGGAAACTGTTGAGAGAGGTAAAAAGAGATCAAAGTTGTAGACTGTTTTGAACGAGAAGTTTTTATATTTTTCAAAATCTCTGAGCATTTAAACCAACTTTAACCAAAGCGATTCTACCGAGGAATATTTGTATTGCTTACACAGAAAGATTAATTTAAAAGGCTTAAAAAGCAGATTTTATGATTCTACTTATTCTACGTTACAAGCAGTTACAGTGAAATTTTAGAGTTTTTCAAGATGCTGTTTTTTATTTTTGCGGCAAATGGAGAATAGTATTCAGTGTCAAATATCCATAGATTAAAACGGAAACCCTTGTTTTTGATCAGAAATCAGTATTATGAAAAGTTGTTCGTACTGAACTTTTACGCAAAAGAAAAGAGATTCGATGACAAAATTTTTTAAATTGCCAATTTTCTTGCTATGATAAACTTGTTTAGTGACCTTTTTTATTTTAAAAATAACTTTTTCTATTATTTAGTTAAAAATTTATTTTTTCTTTTTTAAATTCAGACAACATTCAACAGCAACCTTATTTCTGATTGCTGCTGGTAGGTCTTTTTTTTCTTAGCAAACTGGGAAGATAACAAGGCTGTTTTTCAAATTGAGA